TCACGAATGTGCCCCAAAATCCAAGTTTCCCGAATCGGTCCATTGCAATGCATTAGACGGGCCAAGCAGATATATACAAATAATTTACGCAAATCATTTTTATTAATTCATCGAGTTTAGAAAAATCCTTAACAGAATACAGAATACAGCATTGCGGATCCACTAGCGAGATTTGAACCCGTGCTGTTTCAATAAAACGCAAGCATCCTACCAACTGTACCACGTGGCCTCGGTGACGAAGAAGAAACTGAATAGACTCGATATAGCGCCGCTACTCATAAATTCCGTGGGGATACTCATCCAAGTATTCATAACCCAACGGGTTGTGCCCCAAGAGCCACGTGTTTCCTTTCCCACGAACCTCTCAATCGCAGAGCATTAGCTGGGTTAAGCAAGGATATATACAAATAATAGAATTTTGGCAACATAGGGAAATATTTATAGTAATAATAATGATAATTATATATATATATATATATATATATATATATATATATATATATATATATATAATATACCAATCTACCATTCGTCCTTGCTTTGAATATTGGTGGTGCCCGGTCTCTATATTTAGAGATTCTTAATAAAATCCAAAGTATAGGCAATGTTATTGGTCCAGACTTACCCACGCGGCTTCAATTCATTTTCCACCGCCGTAACGAGTCTTCCTGTGTCTTTTCCATAAATGATTTCATAGTAATTATTCTCGTGATCTTTCCTCCATGGTACCTTGACTTTATGAATATAAACGCAGTACTAGATTGGCGGCGAGGTCTCATCATCTTAAAGTTGAATTGGTTAGATGTAACGGTAAGTTCTCTGTAACAGTTTCTTCTATTGCACTTCTCGCATGTGGAACACTCAACTGGCAACTTTGTTCTTTAAAAATTTAAATGTCCATCGTTATCTTGTACATTGTTATTTTATTGTTTTCTCGCCTTATTTTTACCATATTCCCTAATACTCCTAGTGTCCTTGATTAGGGTGAAATAAAAAAAAGAAAACGACATCTAACCGTTTAAATAGGTCAAGGTCTGGTACCTCCTCCCCCAATACTAAGTATGATTGAAAGTAATATTAAAATAAACCCTCTCTAAACTCGACCCTGTCTCTTACACCACTTCTCGTAACCCTCTCTGTTAAATTACATAAACTTAATACTACCCGTCAAAAGTGTGAATTTTCATTTCATTTTTCGTTTCATTTTTTGGAAGTGTTATCTGATGATCCAGTGTCCCTTAAAAGGGCTCTAGTGAAATAAATTATTATAATGGAATCTTAAAGTGATTTGTTTTTCTTTAAATTATTAGTTCTGGATTTACATTGAGCTCTCAGGATTTCATTCTCCTTGGGACTACCCATACGGATTACCAAGATTTTCACACACACACACACACACACACACACACACACACACACACACACACACACACACACACATATATATATATATATATATATATATATTACTTATTAGAGCTCATGTTATATTTTGTAGTTAAATGTGCCTGAGTAGATCAAATCGTTTTTGAAACAGTAAATTTAATAAATGTCTTCTTAAAGAAAATGTACCTGCTGACTTTCGATGTCTAGGCCAGTAGACATTAATTTCTCTGGTAAAGAAATGGAGACATCTACTCAAGCAGCTTTACCACAAAATATCTAAAAATGCCCGAACAAGATATAATAGCGAATTTAGAAAATGTATTAAATGCAAAAAATCACACACGCATACGTACGTGTGTGTGTTTGTGTGAGTGTATGTATTAAAATTAGGATATATAAATCCTGATAAAGTTTTTAAATTTTGACAATTGTAAATATTTCATGAAAATAGATTTCTTTAAAAATAGATTTAATTATTAATTTCGCCATTCAAGGCTTGCTCAGATCCAAAAACGAAAGAGTGAGACGTATGTGTATGTGTAATTGTGTGTATGTGTAATTCTGTATATGTTTAATTGTGTGTATGTTTAATTGTGTGTATGTGTATTTGTGTGTATGCTTAAATAATGAATTATATTACTCTTTCTCCAAGCGGGCGTTTCTCGTGGTTATAAAGAAAGAAAGATGAGTGACTTTCTAAAAAGCGGTTAATATTTATTCTGTATCTTTTCATTATAATTCTTACCTCATGTCGAATATTGTTAATATATTTTCCCCAGCTTTTTATATCGAATTAAAGGTAAATCTTCATCTCAGTTTCACAATAGCACGAAATCAAGAAATTCATTTAGGCTTTTCTGAAATTAATCCATGACAAATCCTCATAAAATCGTTCAGAATGGGTTGAAAGTAAAAGATACACATGATGTAAATAAAATTGTATTTAATACATCCCTTCAAATATGGATACATATCAAATTTATAACATTCTTTTCTTCTTTTTATGTGCCGTAGGCGATCATGGCTCTCCACCTCCCTCTATCAATTGCAGCTCTCAGCAAGTTCCTTCCCTCTGCTTCCTCCTCCAAACCATGTTCTGTCATACACCTATATATATATATATATATATATATATATATATATATATATATATAAATAAATGTGTGTGTGTATATATATATATATATATATATATATATATATATATATATATATATATATATATATATATATATATATATATATATATATATATATATATATATATATATATATCAATGAAGGAGAATTTAAATATTAAAAACAAAACAAAAACACCAATCAAAATAACTGACGTTAAAGTAAAAACAACAATGATGAAGATAGTAGTCTGAACGATTTAGAAAAAGGCGAAATTATTCTCTAGCAATAAAAATAGTATCAGTCAGTTGGTTTATTTCAACGTTTGTTTGTGTAGCTCATCGAATATACAGTTTCGTTCGGACATTTTTCCCTCAACTTCGCCTTTCTTCGCCGGCCTTGTGTGCGCATGCGTCATGGAGGAACATTTCCGTCATTCAAATCAAAGAATGTCATTTTTGATTAAACTACCGCATAGCACCGCTATCTTTAATTATTGGCAGTGATGGGCCCCTTTGTAAGAACCTCAAGACAAATTAAATGTCTTACAACGTTTCACCTTTGTTGGGAGAACTTCTATCATGTCAATGTGGGGTACTTAATAACAAAATTGACGAAAAAACAACAACAAATCATTGGAAAACAGAATCAGATCGACATGTCTGAAAAGATTTAATTTAAAAGCGTAAAATTTCAGCATTCCCAAAACTTTGCCGTTGATTCTCGCTGCATAATTATATCTACCCATGCTACATGAAGCTCTACAATAGTTACATAGAATTTTCCCACTTTGTCATATATATATATATATATATATGACGTCATACATTAAGAAATGGACAAAGTCCGACAATTATTTAAAGACATTTTTATGTTTAACATTCTTTTTATAGATACAAGTATTTAAGTAAATGCTCTGTTTATAATAAACAGTATTAAATAACATTTACCGGCCTGAATGTCTGAGAAATTTTCATAGAAAATATTCGTCCTTTGACAGGATTCGAACCTGCATCCTATACGGAACCGTCATTTAGCTTGACGTGCTTAACCTCTCGGCCACAAAGGATCGTTCGGTTGGCAAGGTCGAATTTACTGCTTATAAACTTCAATCTTCCATGAATCTCGTACATTCATAACTTTGTGGTCGAGACGTGTGTGTGCGTGTATAATTCAAAGACAGTACTGTTTCGTTGTATGACAGCTCCTCAGTGCGACGAGACCTCCGAAAGCCATAAGCCAGTATCGAAGCCCAACAAATTTGGTGGCAGTCGGAGTTTCTACCCCTAAACCATTCAGTACTAAGGCTAGCAAATATTTTCTCTCTCTCTCTCTCTCTATATATATATATATATATATATATACATGTATGTGTGTGTGCGTGCGTATGTTTGCGTGTATGTAAACTAGCAACGATATATTGTTAGTTAACAATCATCTTGTAGAACGAGAGAAGTGGACAAACAGATAGATAGATAGATAGATAGATAGATAGATAGATAGATAGATAGATAGATAGATAGATAGATAGATGATAGATATGAAGAGACTGGGAATAATAGAGAGATAGGTAGATTAGACACCCCTCCTCCCGATGTGGTGCATTGTTTAGACAGTTTGTCTCGTTAGATCAATTACAACTAAGCAGTAAGCTCGATCTTCACTCTGTGCTAAATACTTCTGGCCTTGAGCCAGATGCAAGCTACGCTTTAAAATCCCTATATATATAAGTATATACATATGAAAATATATATGTACATAGATAGATAGATAGATAGATAGATCGGTTTGATCGACATATCAAGAGAGATGGCTTTCACCAGATCTTTATAGATAGATAGATAGATAGATAGATAGATAGATAGATAGATAGATAGATCGGTTTGATCGACATATCAAGGAATATAGCTTTGACCAGATCTTCATAGATAGATTTGATAGATAGATAGATCGGTTTGAGCGACTTATCAAGAGAGATAGCTTTGACCAGATCTTTATAGATAGATAGATAGATAGACAGATAGATAGATAGATCGGTTTGATCGACATATCAAGGAAGATAGCTTTGACCAGATCTTCATAGATAGATAGATAGATAGATCGGTTTGATCGACATATCAAGAGAGATAGCTTTGAACAGATCTTCATAGATAGATAGATAGATATATAGATAGATCGACATATCAAGAGAGATAGCTTTGGACAGATCTTCATATGCAAATAGATAGATAGATAGATAGATAGATAGATAGATAGATAGATATGTATTGACAAAAAACCAGATCAGATATTAATAAATCGAGATATATTCTTACAGAAATGCCTTATTTATCAGATGCCGTGAAATTGTTTTGTCCATTACTGCTGTGTATGTAGATCAACCACCCTCCCGTACCAAAAAAAAAAAAATAATAATAACAAAACATAGCCACACAATTGTGGCCGCGTGTAAGTATAAGCTCTGGACTACTTAACTACATCTTTTTACGTAGGTAATGACGTGTATTCAACTACCCTTCTATTTATGCTTCTATCATGTGAACGAATATGTCGATATGTGTGTGTTTTCGTGTTTGCATTTTGTGTCTAGAATGTCTTCATCTGTACAACAGCACTTGATTAAAATATATATTTGTTATAAACCAAGTATTTACTTTTAAATGAAAAGCGTCCACCATCACCAACATCTTCTTCCTCTCTGTTCCGTGTCCCGTCTTGATTTTGGCTCCCTCACAAATATCCTATCCTTTGTAGCTCGCAATAAGTCGTCTTTTTGTTATCACGCCTAAGTTTTGTTCCACCATTCATTTCAAGCTCTCTTGGTAGGTTTATGTTTTGTTTTCATCTGTCCCTCTTGCCTTCAATCTGTCTTGTGAGTATCGAAGTTTCCAAGTTCTCTTTCCTCATCATGTGCCTTAACAATTTCAACTGTCTCTACCTGATGTTAATTATAAATATCGTTTTTGTTGCCATTTTTTCTAAAACCTCGTTGTTGGTCACATGTTCGGTTCATGGAATTCTCAGCAGGTTCGCCTATCGCCCGGTTCCAGCTTCTCCCAGGTCTTTTGAACAGGATTGGAGCTTTACATCATTATTCCTTTTTAGGATCCTCGTTCGTTCTAAAGCCTTCTCATCCACCTTCACTCCTAGCAGCCGAGTGCGTCTTAGTGGCATTATCGCCTTGCTTGGGATGAAATTAAAAAAAAGTTGTTTTTTTTTTTAATTTCTAGAATGAGGAGTGTATATTATTTATGTTATTTACACGGTAAGTATTGTCCTCACCCGATTTTTTTTTTTTTTTTTTTTTTTTTTGCTATCACATCGTTTCAGTCGTTGTGTCCTGAGGCCTTCATCAGATGCTTTCCGGTCAGTTTACCCTTCGAGGAAATTCGAACTGACCCCTTTATTTAATCTATGAGAACAGATATTCACGCCTTGCAGAGCATGTCTATGGATATCTGGTCTAGTTCCAATTTCGCAGTACTAAACTGCAACAGTTGTCTTGGAGAGAGTTTGGAACAAGTAAAAAAATATATGGAATTATTTATTACTATTCACACGTCATTTAAACCGTGGAACAATGTCGTAGCCTTAATTCCATGGAAATTTTAAACACCCGATTTAAAATACAAATATATCACTTAATTTAGATACTCGCGTATCATCCGACTTTTGAAAACATCATTTTGAAGCTAATTTTAAGGTGGTTGCATCATACATGTGGTATAAAATTAGCGTATGTACTGCAGGCTCTGGTTACTCCGTTGACCAGACAATCAATAAATCTATCTATCTATCTCAGTTCATTGTATGTATATCTATCTATCTATCTATCTATCTATCTATCTATCTATCTATCTATCTATCTATCTATCTAAGTTCATCGTACGTATATCTATCTATCTATCTATCTATCTATCTATCTATCTATCTATCTCTATTCATTATCTATCTCGGTTCTATCTATCTATCTGTCATCATCTGTCTATCTATCTATCTATCTATCTATCTATCTATCTATCTATCTATCTATCTATCTATCTATTGTATATACTACGCATATCATGTGACTTTTGAAGCTAATTTTAAGGGGGTCGCATCATACATGAGATATTAAATTAGCGTATGTACTGCTGGTCTTGGCTACGCCGATGGCCAAACTATCTATCTATCTCTCTATCTCTCTCTCTCTCTCTCTCTCTATCTATCTATCTATCTATCTATCTATCTATCTATCTATCTATCATAACGTGCTTTCTATCTATCTATCTATCTATCTATCTATCTATTCTATCTATCTATCTATCTATTCATCCGATATACTCACGTATCATACGACATTTGAAGATCTAATTTTGAAGCTAATTTTAAGAGAGTCGGATAATAGGCTAGATATAAAATTAGCGTGTGTACTGCTGGTCCTGACTACGCGTATCAAACTATATATCCATTTACTGTAATCAAATTAGCTTCAAGATTAGGTCTTCAATAATCGCATGATACGCGAGTATTATTCAGTACGTTCATCTTGCTACATATTGCCATAAGTCATTCTGTTTTTATAGTATAAATAAAAAGTTTCATTTTGAAATACGGAGTTAAAAGACTAGGTTTAAAAATTTAAATATTAAAAAAATAGATTGGATTTTATATTCAGTAAAGATAATATAACTGCGTGCAATTCACATAAGCAGACTGACTAAAACGAAAACTCCTTGCCAGAGATAATCAGAATATTGGTAAAGGAACTTGACTATTCATGGAAATTTGACTTGCTACTTGCTAAGTATTAAAGTGGCTGGTCAAACGCTCTACGGTCTTAACGGGAGGTTAAATAAACGCATAAAACACTGATATTTCACTGATATTTTATTTTCATTGTTCCTAAAGAATTTTTCCTGTTTCTCAGAAGTTTGTTAAGTTTTCGAAGACATATTCTTCTATTTCAAGGCACGTTCGGATTTCAGTCTCACATTTTTCATATTCTGTTAAAATATTTCGGAGATATACTGACGATAAACTAAATCCGGTAGAAACGCTTCTAATGAGGAGGTTTTGAGGAGCGTGGAACCACCTCTTAATTGCTGTTGTTCCCAAGGTCCACACTGACCAGGAATTGTAGCATATGCTAGGGTCCCAGTTATGGATAAATAGTTAACCCTTAAACTGGGATCAAAACACTATGAAATCATAAAAATAAAAACTTTATAGTAAAATTACCAGCAATACAATTATGAAAAATAAAAAGATATTACCAGCAATATATTTGACTTTCTACAAAAAAACCCTCTTTAGAAAACAATCTCTTACAAAGACTAAATATTCTAGTCATACGAATCTACCCTGAAAATATTGGCGGCATTAAATAACTCACTGAGGTTGATATGCCGTAAAACAAAACAAAGCAAACCAAACCAGCAATAAAAATCTTGTCGGTATTAAATAACCCATTGAGGTTGATATGCCGTAAAACAAACCAAAACAAACCAAACCAGCAATAAAAATCTTGTCGGCATTAAATAACCCATTGAGGTTGATATGCCGTAAAACCGACCAAACCAAACTAGTAATAAAACCGACCAAACCAAACATTTTTTTTTGATGTTGATATCTCTGTTTCGGATTTCGTGTCTTGTGATTTTTTTTCTGGTTGGTGGTTAGTTATATCTTTTCGTTTAAATTCAGCAAATGAGAAAAGGAGATTGAACATAGAATAGGCTACACTATAGGTAAGCTTCACCTAACACCGCAAACTACAGCAAAATTAAACTATTAACCTGAAAACCTAGGGTCATGTTCTTAAATAGCATTGCCGATTCGAGACTGTCATATGGACTGCGTGCATGACGTGAAGGCTTTCATATATATCTAAACTATTGTTAAATAAAAGTCTAGCAGACTATTATTTTTTTTACAGAATTGTAATTCCTCTGACTTCCTCATTTTGACCTTTGAGGTCGGATACAAGAAAACAAATGAAGTCGTTTTGATTGGCTGAGCCGAATGTGAGAATGTTAAAGAGATAGAAAGTTATTTCGTGGAGTTAAGTTTAACGCGTCGAAGAGAGCAGACATGGTTATTTCGTGTCTCAAGAAACTTGCTCCCCGGTGGGAGTGATATAGCTACCCCAATAGCTAGTTAAAAAGGGGCACGTCGAAGTGTTAATAAAATAGATGAGTTTAAAATTCCTTTTGTTGAGGTTCTCATTTTGATTCCGAACCCTCTAAAGAAAAAAGAAAAAAAGAAAAAAAAAAAGAAAAACGGCCGAGAAAGAATAAAAGAAAGAAAGAAAGAAAGAAAGAAAGCGAGGAAGACATCTTTATTATGATCGTCTTAAGAGATGGCCAGGAGAGAAGTGGGCAATACAAAACTATCAGCTGTATACAACCGCTTTCTCAGTTTCTGTCAAAACCACCCTTCTTTGGACCTTGTGGACTGGCGCAACACAATCACAACCTGAAAACTTGAGTCAAGGTCTTAAATAACCGCATCAGATCTAGTCTTTAAAATAGATGGCATGCATAGAGCACAACACATTAAGAAATATCTAAAGCTTCAGCCGTATATAACAGCTTTCTAAGATCAATGGTTAAGATTGCTTTGAACGAGTGAAGCCTATGATTCTAGGTGAAGAATTTTGTGAACTGGCGCTACATAATCACAAACAGTATCAGAGAACAGAAACCACATCACTTGAAGACTTTCAACAGAGCGTTGGAGAAATGGACAGCGGCTCAGATTGAGGAGAGCCGTGTTTGAATTCCAATCGAATCCATTACATTCACTTATGTGCTAATACCCTTGGGAAAGGTTTGAATCTTCTTCTAACCCTTCCCCCCCAGCTATGGGTAAATAGTAGGACATACCGGGTTCTATAGCATCTGGTCTACCACCGAAAGAAATGGCAACCTACTGCGGAAGAAATCTGCCTCGTCAGTCATGTATCGAAAACATGGCACATAACTGACTGAATGACTTCTTCAAACCTTGCTCTACAGAATCACCCAGAAAGAACTGTACAAGATAACAGAAACAACATTACTTGAGGACTTTCAACTTCAACAATAACTAAAACGGATATCATATGAAACTTGAAAAAAATAACATAACTAAAATTTAGGAAGGAAACTCCATTAATACTAGAAAGAGCGATAACAGTTACTGGACATGAGAAAGCTATTTTCATGAAAAATTGTTTAATAGAAGGATTTTATTTCAATCGAGAGTAGAACAAGATGCCCAGGCTATTAATGCGAAATATTCCCTTATAAGGAAACGAGTAATATTAGTATTACAAATTTTAACTATAAAAATGGGTTGAATTTCTCCCCCTATTTTGTTTGTAAAATAGATTCAACTTCCCTTTAAATGTGTTGACGTGTTGTACTTTTTTGTGGTGAATACAGCAAACTTTGGTTTAATTAGTTTCACGTTACTCGACTATTACTGACGAATTGGTTCATTGCAGTTTATTCCACAGAACGTTCGTGGACAAAATCTTACGACCAGAGAGATTTGGAAATCGACCGAGTGCAGGTACCACTGGGCCGCGATAGAGATATTAATATGCGAAATATTTTTTCTAATTTTCTTCGAAACATCGAGAAGTATTTCTCCGATAAATTGATGGAGAATGTGTCAAATAGAGTTTTGCATTTTCAGAAAAACCAAGCAATTTTTTCTTCTTGCAAAAAAACAATTCATAATGGCCAGACTAAGACGGCCACAAATAACAAATCCGAAGACTTATAAATATTTTGAACTTAGTACTTACCTATTATCTATCTTTCTATCTATTTAGATTTTCATATTTATCTATTTATCGTTATGTTATATCTATCTATCTATCTATCTATCTATCTAT